CTGTACCCCAGTTCTGTATGAATAAATAAATAAATCTTAAAAAAAAAGAACTAATCAGCTTCAGCTCCCACTTAGAATTCTGGGTTTGAGTTTCCTCTGTCTTCTTGGCACCTGAGGATTTCTTTCTCTGTGATGGAGATTTTTTTATCCATTAATTTTACATGGCTGAAATAAGGTTAAGTATTTTCCATATCAGATCACTCCAGCATTTAAAACCACAAAAGATTCAACTCTTCAGCATGGCATAAAGGTTTACATAACTTGGCTCCTGACATCCTTTTCAACTTTATCATTTGCTCCTGGTACACAACTATTTGGCGCCACCTAAATGAATCAGAGTATTTCACTGTGTATTCAACTATAGATTAACACTTATTTATTTTTTAAGACTCTCTTCAAACATCACCTCTTCTATGAATCTTTTTTCTCTCTCTCCGATCATATTTTTCCTCACTTGCTATTGGGTGCTTGGTAATCTGCACAGACTTCTATTACTACATTGGTGTTTTTTGCATAAACTTATCTATAAGGCTATCTTCCCCACTAGAATGAGCAACTTGAGTGCTGAAACAATTTATTCATCCCCAGTATAACTAAAGAAAGCTATTTCCACTCCCCACAAACTAAGTAGATTTTAGTACGATAGCTTTGAGAATTTTAGGGCACAAATGGAAAAATAGACAGTCCAGGAAGATTCCATATGCATCATAGAATGTTTCCTTATTTCTATCCAAGTATGGGCCCACAAACAGACATTTTAAATCCTTATCAGAATGATTTAGAGTAACAAAGGAAGTGGACACAAAATACTAACAGGAAAGCTACAATGAGTGGCGGAATGAAGAAGTGCTCTCCAAAAATACCATCTGGTCTTACAGTGTAAATGACTGAAATATCAGGTTTGACAAAACCAGTTCGGGAAAATGATTACTTCCCAGATGATAAAATCAAACCCTCTCATTTGAAAAATCTTTTAAAACTTCAAACACATAAAAAGGTACTGAGCAATTCTACCACAATGCAAAAACATTTTACCATTTCATGTAAAACATTATGAAGTTTAAGCCTCCTTACACCCATATGATGCTTTCTCAACTGCGTCTGACAAGCCTGTGGGACAGCTGGAAAAGGGGAAGTCAAGCACTCAGAAAGCCGCCCTGCTCTCAGTCCTCAGCATATTTTCTCTAGCCCCAGATCCCACTGTCACCTTCAGAGGACTAGGCTGGGGGTACAGGTTTGGCAGTTGTCAGCAGAGAAAGTCATAAGTTAAGTAAGGTCACAATAGTCTAAAATGAGACAAACTTCTGGGAACACAAACATTAGGAGCTTAATTGGAGAAAGGAGAGAACCAGCCTAGGAAACTGAGCAGAAAAAAAGAAATGTAGGAGGGGCTCAAGAAGCTCAAGAAGCAGGCTTTTGGGCCCTCCTTGGTGGCACTACGGATTAAAGCACAGCACTATGAGGCCATCTGAAGCCACTGCAGCACGAGTTCAATCCCCAACCAGGGAGGTGACCCACATGGCATAGCAGACCTCTCCTGACATGGCTGCTCCCCTCAGCAGTGTGTTTCAGTCACTCTACCCACTCTGCTTCCTGCTCTGTCTCTGGTGAATCCTCTTACCCCTGTACCTCTGGCCTGTGCCCCAGTTCTTGTCTACATAAATAGATAAACCTGTACAAAAAAAATTTTTTTCAACTGAAAGTAATCAAGTAAATATTGGGGGAAATAAAAAAAGAAGCAGGCTTTTAATTGGTTTTTTATTTATTTTTTATTTTTTTTAGTGAAATAACAGTTACTTCACCACTAACTGGGAACCTGTGTTCACTGATTCATTGTTGGTTGTCTACTCTGTATCTTTTCTTTGTATCTTACTTGCTAACAGAAATCAGACTGGGCTTGCAGGTTGCAAAAATTAAAACAGCGCTATCCTAGGTCTGGCCAATAAAATACGTAGTACAGCATCATCACCCAGCGAGAGTTTATACAGGATACACAGAATCATTTGGTAGTTTAATATTCCTAATAAACATGAAAAATTTACAAGAGAAGGATAATGAAGAGGGCTTGTCTTACCAGCTAGCAAAACATAATGTAAAGCCAAAGGAAATTAAAAGAATATAGCAGAAGTACAGCAGTTAAAAAGTGGAAGTCTGTTCAAAGTATGGCATAGCAGATTAGGAATGGTTAGAAATACTCTAGATAAGATGTATTGCAAGAAATAACTGCACAAAGCTACTCCACCTTGTCTTGCTATCACTCCTTTGCCCGTTTTCCTAATCCCAGATCCCTCTCACCTTCAGCGATTCAATCGTGGCCTGTTTGTAAATCTTTCCTCCAGGATCTTTCTTCTGAGGGCTGTTCTGCATTCTAGGTGTTCGGATCACGAATTTATCCATTGCTAGAAGACTCCAACTGCCTTTACAGTGCTTGCGGTCTGAGCTGCTTAAGAAAGAGGGCAGATTCTAAATCTTCATCAAAACTGCTATGATATGTATTCCCTACATCGACACGATTGGCTTTTATTAACCTTGGGAGCTTGCCTGAATTATGCAAAAAGTATAGGAAGATTTCCTCTTGAAAAATCTTCCTAAGTACTGAAACTGTATACAAAGATGGGCCTACACCCTAAGTTAGGACGTGCCTAACTTTCAAAAGTAGACTCTGTGTAGGGGATTCCAATTTTCTGCCAGACTTTGAACCTGATGATTTCTAAAATCTCTTCCAAATTAGGATGGGTTATGGCAGGATTAAGGTTCCACTGGATTCAAGAATGCCCGCTGAACAACTTTACTCCATCATAGCCACAATCCCAAGAGTTCCCCTAGTAACCAACAACCAACTCCAGATCTCAGGATCTGGAGCAGTCACCTGCTTGGTGGTTAGAAGACACTAATCACGACAATCGTGTTCTGGACCCCTACCCCCGTAAAGGCAAACACCATCTTCCTCTGCCCACGCAACTCAGGAGTCTGGGAAACGGTACCTAACAACAATCTGACGGGAGATCCACCAGGAAAGCAAGCCTATCAGCAGTTGGACACCTCCAGAGTGTACCTTCTGAGGACACCACGCATGAAATTAGGGACGGAACTAAACGTACGCTCCCTTCCAGGTTGGTACTTTCTCTTAGTAGGAGAGAGCCTTGAGCACAACAAACCACACTCCCCAGAATGCACTGCAAATGAAGCGGCAGGAGGGCGTGTCCACGGTGACTGTAGTTCTCCGAGACCAACTTTTCCAAAGGCACAGTGCATGTCTACCCCCATGGAAAACTACATATCCCAGCGTGCCCCGCGAAAAGAAGAGATGCCGGAAGTGTGCGCACTAATACTCGCGATGGTTGGATCCATCGCCAACCTAGGAGACTTTCTTAAAACCCAAGGGTGGGGCGAGAGGCGACAGTTTGGGACGGGTCAGGGCGGAGCTGAGGAGACTGTGGAGGCGGAAGCAGCGGCCAGGGGGGGCGGAGAAGAGGGCTGGTCCCGGAAGGAGGAGGAAACCCTGAAAAGAAAACAGCAACAAGCTGAGCTGCTGTGACAGAGGCAAACAAGATGGCGGCGCCGAAGGGGAGCCTCTGGTTCAGGGCCCAACTGGGGCTTCCGCCGCTGCTGCTGCTGACCATGACCCTGGCCGGAGGCTCGGGAACCGCTTCAGCGGAAGCCTTTGACTCTGTCTTGGGTGACACGGCGTCCTGCCACCGGGCCTGTCAGTTGACCTACCCCTTGCACACCTACCCCAAGGTAGGGCCCGTCCAAACCGGGCTACCACCCTTCCCTTGGCCGCTCTCGCACACCTCTGTCGGTTCCGGCAACCTGGCTGTTGAATCCCCCTTTCAGCCGCCGTCTCCCACCTTTGTGTCCCCTGAATTTTCCCCTAGTCTTAATCCGCATCCGGCTCTTACTGTTAACAACCTCAAGTTGGTGCTGCACCTACCCTGCAATAGGCCGGGAGCACAAAGATGAGAAAATGATAGGACTCCTTTCTTCGGGGACCTTGCGGGCTGCAAGGGAGATGATTATTCCTAGGGGTTGGGGGTGGGGGAGTGAGCGGGTGGGGCGGCGAGGAGGACGTGGATGATTAATGCGGGTCCTCACCTTCTAGGAGCATAGGGGACGGTGGGATGGGCACAGCGGCCGATTACAAAGCCCTCAAAAGGCCAGCGCAGAACTGTTTACGGAGCGCCTCTGTGGGCCTTGCGCGCACAATTTGCTCGGAGAGTCAGCCGAGTGGACAATACCACTGTAGTATGAAAGTGTTACGAAGTCAGCCGAGGAGTTGTGCGACGCCCAGGAAAGGCTTTCTGCCTGTGCTGAATTACGGTGTGCAGAGCGCTGCCATCAGAGACTGGGTGGCTTAGCAAAGAAGCACTGATGTGCTGTCAAAGAATTTGAGTGTCGAAGACAGAGGAAATTCGTGGAGAGGGTGAAGAAATGAACTTGCTGGGGGGAGTGGCTGGTAGGGGAGGGTTCTCGGAGTGACCCTGCCTTCAAAACCACCCCCAACCCGTCCCACCAAACAGAAGCTGCCTGTCCTTAAATTCCGTTCCACTTCTCAGATTGTTTTCTTAGCTTCTTAAGAACTGTTTCCTCAACATTCTAAATTGCTTGGTGACTCATCCACCCTTCCCATATATAACTTGGGTATATGTTCTCTCCCCATCGGCTCCCCCACCCTACTTTTCTTTTGCTTGTGTTGCGGTCTTTTGGTTTTTGTCTTTTACTTCATCTCCCTCCCATGCTATTGGCTTAACCACATGGCTTGTCCTCTTGATCCTCTCAAACTACGAAGTGACCATTGAGGACAGGTCCAATGATGTTTAAGATGTTTCTCTTTGACAAGTGCTTTCAGGTCTTTGAAATGAAGTTTCCTGAATTCTGTCACTTCCCATGTGTCTTTACTGCTGGGTTTTACAATGCATGAGGATTATGAATTTTCAAGAAAAGGCATGGGAGAGGACATTATACCAAAATTTCCAGTCAGGTGCTAATGTAGTAGTCAAAAGAGAAATTCTGACTTCCAGACTTAAATCAGTGTATACTGTCCCTAAAAACATTATTTTATTTTCTTAAAGGGCTCTCTCATCATTAACAGAATTGTGTGAGGAAAATAATTAATAATTGATTAGGTCTGGAATTGGGTGGAGACTGACTGTAATTCTAACATTTGGTTGTGGTGGGGTGGGGTTTGTTGTTGTTTTTTTCCTTTTCTGAGATTTTCCCAGCAAATTTGTAGTGTGAGCCAGAATACTGGAAGAATAATTTGAAAGGTAAACATTTCTGGGGCCTGTACCAACAATCATTGCTTTCTAACAGCTGATGTGAGGGGTGTGTGAGTTTTTGTGTGTGTAATTTTAATCTTTATGTGTAATTTTAATCTTTATTTAAAGCTCTTCTCACCAAGAATTCTAAATCATCTGTTTCCTGTAGTTTTTGGATTTAAACTTTATGAACTGTCAATGTTAACCAGTATGAGAGATTTGCACCATTATTCTAATTCTCACAATGACCTGCACAATAAGGTTTTACATTTGAGGAAATTGAGAGTCTGAAAATTTAACTAATCTGCCCAGGGTCATATTGCCTGGAGCAGTAGGAATTCTGTCCTAAAAACTAGTTAGGCTATGCTGCCTCCAACTATAAAGTTGTATTAAAAATAATTTAATTTACTGATTTCTGTTGGTCCTTTCCCAGCTCCAAGTTATTGTACTTTACAATTTAGGGAAAGGTAATGTGTTATTAGAAATTAGATGAATCCACAAGCTCATATGGCCTCTTTTGGTCTGGTATTTGTAATTGGCAAATAGAAATCTCATTTCAGTGACTTTCAGAATTAATTTGTTGCAAGAAACTAGTTATTTTAAAATTATATTTCACCTTATTAACTTTTATCAAAATTGCAGTTGTGTAATTTGCCTGGGCCCAAATACAAGAGATATGTTATATTAATAAAGCTGATTAGAACCAGCCTGGTCATTTTTAATAGAGTATGGGTTCTGGAACTCCACAAACCTGGCTTCCATTCCCAGTTTCATTTTTACATCTCCACAAAACTGGCTTCCATTCCCAGTTTCATTTTTACATTGTCAGCTGTCAAAAAATCTCACACCTTGCAGAGCTAATATAAGAGTTAAAGATAAAATGTGTGGCACTATAAGCATAGCATCTAACACATGACAACAGATAGTTATTTCTTCTATATGTCATTAAACCAGTTTGGTGTGTGTATTAGTAGTAGTACTAAACAATGATAATGGTTAATTTGACTCTACCCAGGATAAGAAAATGCCTGTACATCGATAGATAGTATCACCGGTTTCTTCCAATCATTTAACTGGCATTCATTTTGGTAAGATACACCATTTCCTGTGCTCTAAATCATAGGAGTGACGTTGTATATAAGCTTGCCAGTCATTTGTGGTGAATAGAGCTCAAAATATTTACTTAGAAATATCATATTGTCTAGAACATGAAATACTTGGAATAGGGATATGATTCTTAATAGCTACCTGTCAGGTGACTGCTCTGTGCCAGGTGTTGTATTGTTAGTACAGTGCCTGGCACATTGTGTGTGCTCATTAAATATATTATTAAATGCTGTGATGTCTGTTTACTAGATGATATAGCATAATATTAATGATGCTATATATCTAAATATATAATCCTCATATTGAAGAATAAGTATTTACAACTCGTGTTTAAGAATGAGTATTTTACAGCTTAGGAAACTGAGGCTGGGAAAGATTAAGTAATTTACTCAAGGTTGTACAGAATATATGGTGAGGCTAAGCTTCAGATCGAGATTGATTCCTGAACCTAGGCTCATTTCACCATGCCATACTCTCTTCTGAAAATGACACTGGAGTGTTTGTTGGGTTAAGTTAACAACAGCATCAACAAAAGGCAGTAGTAGAGCTCAGACTTCCTTTGTGCAATATAAGGGAATATACAGTGCTCTAAAGACATAAGGAAAGTCTTCCACTGCTTTACAAAGCCTACAAAAGATAGAATTTTTAATTGTGAAAATTCTTTCGATTTCATCTTAGCAATAGATGCAACTAGAACTGAGGTCCAAAAATGCAATATTTTCAAATATGTGTAATAGAGCGTAGTATTATTGTTTAATATCAGATTGCAGCCATCTCTGCTGGATGTATTGTTGCTGCTGCATAATTTTTACTAATCCTTATGCTGGAAAGAAATGAATACCTTTGTATTCCTTTAGTTGCTAACTGGTGTATGCACATACTGTTTCCTCCCTTATTAGGTGCCTGCCAGTTTGTATACAGTGGACCACACAGTAAGTTAAGGGGGCTCCCTGACATGCACTGATTTGTTTCAAATACTATATATATTTCATAAGAGAAAGGTTGAAGACATTCCCATGAGTCTTATTAAGCAGTTACCAGTAAAGAGGAAGCTGTCATATCCTGAGATCCCACACGTGTAATGATGCCTTTAAGTGATGCTTTCTACGTTCATAATTATTATTATGATTAACACTACTACTACTTATTGAGCACCTTCTGTGTCCCAGGTACTGTGCTAGGCATAGCTGTCTTTCAATGTTATTGAGGATTTGGGAGAATAAGTATCTTCTTTCATGATGAGACAGTTGAGATTTAGATAGTAATGTAATGTAAGTGAGTTACTCACCTAAAAGGTTTTAATCCAGGTCTGACGGACTCCAGTGGCCTTGCCCATACATCACACTGTGTTTTCAGTTACATAAACCAGGTTTTTTAAATCCTTCCATGTGAGCATGTATACATGATACCTGTTTCATAGGGGCCTTTGTGGGACCCACTCCGATGTAAAGCTCGACATGGTAACTTTTTCTGATAACCTGGTGATTTGTATACATATTAATGTGGCAGATGCATACCACTAGTACTTTATTATTCAGTTCTACCTATGTCAAAGTCCTTCTGTTCTTGTTATTTTTATTTTCAAAATTTTCTTCACAAAATATGTCCACAGAATATGGGGAGAAGGTGATATTTTTAGACTTCTTTGTTGTATATTGATTTTTTTAAAGATTTATTTATTTGTTTATGCATACAGAGCTGTGGTACAGGGCAGAGGTGCAGGAGCAGTGAGAGGATTCACCAGAGATAGAGTGGGGAGCAGAACAGGTAGATCAATG